TAAAATTTCGTGCCAAATTATACATCGTATAAGTTCATGCACCATAATTCGCTTCCAATGAGGTAACGATATCGCTCAGAGGATGGACACATCTGTTTGACCACCGTTTTTTTTCTTTTTTTTTTTCTTTTTTTTTTTTTTCGCCGTTGTGGGCATATAATCGAAACCTTTCCCGTCCTTTTCCTGGGTGCGACTTTCACATTTTTCACTCATGTCAGCGGTGTGTCAATACATTACTCCTCACGCACGACGTGCTCACCAGTCTACCCTTAGAATTGATTAAATCCTAATTTAATACTTGTATCCTCCTCCGATTATTAATTACTATTGATGTTTCAATCTTTTTTGCATTTGAATTTCTCGAAAGGATGCATCACTTTATTGATCACCCTGTGACGATTGAATGAAATTGTGGTGACAGGTTGGCTATTATTGACATACTAATAGGGCAACTAATAGAGCGTCGTATTGATCAATCATCATCGAGGGCATCGTCACCCAATTCCCATTTCACCTTAACCATATAAACCTTAAACATTCAAATGCGGTGCAAGTGTGAAGTGTGTAGTACCAACACTTTGAATGAACCCAAAACACCACTGAGGCTTGACCGAGAACTATAACGAGAAGAAGTTCTATTCATCGATGATAATGGAACCCGTCATTACATTATATAATGTGTTTGCCAAAACTTGGTATGAAATCAAGATAATAGGAATCATCGGTGGTCATTCTTCATCTATTTTTTTTTTTTTTTTTTCTTCAGCCGATGACACCATCGCACAAATATCCTCATGCAGCATAATAAGCCATTAACATGATGATGTTAATTGTTGTGACCGTGACTTTCATTGTGGCAAGTTCCATTATTCGACCGGTGCCAGGAAGTAAAAAAAAAAAAAAAAGAAAAGAAAGAAAGAAAGAAATGGAAGGAAAAAAAAGGTGTGCCCTCGTAAATTCCAGGATGTGGGCATGTGCCTTCCTACAGGATCCTTCTTCTTGTCACACCCGCACAAGTTAATCGAGTAGAAAGCTGCACATTCATTCATTTCGTCTGTTCACCTACGTATATATTGCATCGCATGTAATGCACCGCACCTTTCACATACGTAATTAACTCCACGCATACACATACGCGCATAATCTCTCCCTGTGTAATTATTCGTTCCGGGATTAGATCTTCTTGCCTCATTATATGCTCTCGTTTAAATCACATTCCTTTTTCACGCAAGAACCTCGGGATCTCCATGTTAGCACCTTCCTAATCGTCTCCATTCTCCGCACACCAATAGCCTCGCTCGCTCGCTCGTCCATCCATCTTGCATCCCGGTACACCTCCACTTGAATCATTACACGCCTCAATTATCTCGCCATGCCGTCCGAAATCCATCTTCCACGTTCACCTTGGGCGTATTCGTGGTTGAACAAAGAATTTGATCAGGTCAAATGGAAGCAGAGGGTGCGATGAGCCCGAGTGGCGAATGATTGTAATAGAAAAAAATGAATGCTTTTTGTTTTGAGCATTATCCGTTTACTTAAGGTGCTATTGTCAAATTGATTTAGATAACAATAGGAGTTTAATTTCAATCACACACTGTTATTGTTGCTGCCAGGCAAGGCGTGGTAATGCATGTTCCCAGTATGGTTAGCCCATGTGTGGCACTATCCCCAAATATTCCGATTCGTCTGCACCTGCGACAACATTTCGTCGTTTATTCTCGGTATTCGGTAATCGATTGTCGACCTATCAATGTGTCTATATTGATCATATTGTTTTGGTCATATTGAGCGTACGAGCTATTATACTGATTCCATTTTACCTCTTTGACCATTACCGTTCCCAGAGCGATTATAATAGCACTAGAGAGAATGGAAGGAGCAAGGTGTGCGCCACGAAATCCATTTCGTTCACCTCCGCGAAAACGTCCGTCATCCGAAATCTCAACAATCACCAGCGACCTCAATTCACGAGGGTTGCATTCGAGGGTCAAGGTGAAACCAGGGGTGATACCCGGGGCAGTACCCGATCCGAAGATTGTTCAGCTGTGAATAAGAGTTATGATTTTAGGTTCCTAAATTCGCATTCACCCAATGCCAGTCCATCTGACCGTTGATTTGCACGCGACTTTCAACATTTTAAGGTTTTGACTTCTTTTTTTTGTTTTCATGCAAGTGTCCCTGAATTAGCAACCTAATTTTTATAAAAATACATACGCAATTTCTTTTCTTTCGATGACAATGCATAAACGTCGGCGGCGCGGCGGAAAGCGGCATTGGATTTGACGAACGGTGTGTGGTGTGACCCCGGAATCCTCACGCTGATCGTGATACGTGGCACGCATATACCATCACGTGTGGCTTAAGGAAAGATGCGTCAGGAATAAACGCTTTGACAATTAATTAATCACGGCGGAAAAGGGTGTCTGTGCGACCGGCTTATACTGATACCCTGGATGATAATAGAAGTCTGACCAACCTTCACGACAGATTTCAGAGATAATACCGGTGCATCATTAGAAATCGATTGGTCATTTCTATCGGAATCTTCTTCAACTTGTTTAAAAAAAAAAAAAAAAAATTATCATGCTACGTACGGCATGTTTGCGCACGAACCAATTGCGCATCGCCTGTCAAATGTTCCGGTGCAATGATAGCATGAAAATTAATGGCTGCCATATTTGGCACGTAAAATCTGGAATTTACCGCGCATCATGTAGAAAATCTCCGTCTCCACGCACGACATCCCCGCAGCGACCAGGTAATTATTGGAATGATGTTGAACTCGGAGAAAAGAGCTGTTCAAACTGAGAATTCACCTTTATCGTGCGATATCACATGTCAACCAAATAAAGGTAATCAAAAATGCGAGAATCAAGTGTCAAAGTTCCGCTGCACTTTCCCCCCGTCATGCATAAAAAAAAAAAAAAAATATGCAAATCTCGATGACCATTTTGGACTTGACACTCATCAATAGCACTTCTACAAACTGGACAATGATATCCCACGGTTACTCTTTTCGTTGAAGGCGTGTGCATCATGGATCAATAACCTCGTTACTTCGCAACTTATCGATAAAATGTAACCGACGTAATCTATAATTGGTTTAATTGCCATTTCGAACTGAAACCATTGCGACATGAGGTGATGATCCAACGTGCAAAACGCCTTTTTTTTTCTTTCTCATGCGGTCCGTCATCCTTATGTCATGGCATTCTCATTGCGCAAATTTTCATTGGTGACCCGCCCAAAAATCACCGTGACAGATTCGAATGGTAGAAATGACATTTACGTAAACCGCATAGAGGATTGGTATTACGTAATGATCGAGAGCTCCGCCGTGTGGTGTGGGCACCGAGCTGTTTACGACCGAAACGACGGCCACACATGTGAAAGGCGAAAGGAAGCGGGTGGTGAGATTTGCGGTGGCAGGGCTCGATAAAGAACCGTGGTCACGGGACCTGTTTTTCGGCGGGTGGCTGTGGAACGTCGCAATTTACGGAAGTCCAATAAAGGCATCATCATATTAGCTGCCTCACTCCATTGTGAAGAAATGCATTGGAAAGAATGTCAGCCATACTAACTGGTTTTTTTTATAATCCCTTCGCTCTCTTTGTCATTACACAAGATCGATTTTCAATTGTCGCTTTGGTTTGGGAAAAACGGAAGCGCTCATTGTTCTTCAATTGATGATGATGCACTCAATTCGTCTTGCAATTGTCGGTTGGTTTTGGGAGAAACCGGTCCTCTCTCAATTGTCGGATGAATTTGGGAAAAACTGGTAAAACAAACAGTTCAGTCCCTCTCCCAATTGTCAAACGATTTGGGGAAAAACCGGTAAAGAGAAATAAACCGTAGTCCAACCTTGCCATAGAGAAACTCGATTGCATCCTGCGCCCGTCTGACACAACCGATTTGAGATTAGAGGAAAAGAAGGTTATCGCGACATTACGTTACCATCATTTTAACGCAACTCTTTCTCATAAGTACAACGACAATGATGATACTATGCCCGGAGATCAGTCCCCACACTCCTCTTGATCCCGGTGAAGTGTAATTTGATGGTGTGAGGCGAATTGTCTCGGTGCCAGCCCAACGTTGACAGTTTAACCGACTCCCGGAATTGAAATCTGTACGATTCACATGAGCACACATATTCAACAAACACGCACGCGCAGAAAAATCGAAAACAAAAAAATAAACAGTTGATCACACCTTCCACAAGATCGTATCGCAGTTCCTCGTGCGACCATGCAACCTCGGTGTGTCACTCTGCTTATAAAGATGGATTTTCTTGTGAAATTTCACCGATTCCAAAAGAAGGTTCACCCTCTCAAGGATGGATAGATTGACACGCCCATGTTAAGAAATGTCAGGCGCCACCCGAATCTCACTACCGAGTCAGTCGTTAATGAAGGGAGGAAAGAAAAAAAAAAAAAACACGTTTCGCCTCTCTCTCTTGGACAACTCGAATCGAGTTATCGTGTTTTAAGGTTTCCATTTCCCCGAGTAAGTTGACAATGAGCAAACCCTTCATCCTCGATTCTTCCGAGTAAGGCTGAGAAAGATTTGGTGAACAACATGTTTTCCAACTTTAAACTTTTTTCTTCCGAAAAAATTGTCGACCGGTTTTTTTTCTTGAATCGCGTGTACTAATTTACGAAAACCTTATTCGGTGAATGTTTCGAACCGGAAAACTGGTGGAATGGCAGGTACACGTGTTCGGACGCGGATGTTCATCGGTGTAGCCAAAATCCAAAGAATTTAAGCATCCCGTCGTTCCAATCAAGGTGGCACACAGGTGGCTCAGAGGTTTACTTGTTGAAGCTAAATACTGACTCAGCGAATTAGGCTGTATAACTTTGATTATCGACGTTTCTGAAATCCATCGCGCGGTGATAACTTTATTCGACTGCAGACTGCATTCTTGTATAATTATAGCAATGCTATAGTGGATTGTTTCCAGCAATTCCAAGGGTAATTTTCAAGAGCTCTCTACAGTATCAACCATCCTCCGATTCCTGATTAACCGAGCGTGAAGAAATTAACGGCAGTAATCTAACCATAATGGGAATCGCAGATTCGGGCGGTGCAGTTAATGCATTGTCGCGATAACCGGAATCATTGGAAGATGTTATTTCTACAATGCACACACGATGCGGAATCTTTAAACTTTAAGCAAGAGGAGGTTCTCGATTCGTCCGCGGAAAAAAAAAAAAGAGTGAATCCGGAATAGGAATTACCATAGTGTCCACCGATTCCTAAACCTCTTTCAATGGAACGATTGACTTTTCTGGTGCACGTCAATGGGGAGGCGGGAAGGTGAATATGAATTTCGGACTCACCCTCTGTTAAATGCATTATCATTAGACCATTATCTCTGCACTGGAAAAACGTGTGCACATCTGTTTGCTATTGTTATCAGATGAGACCTTCTTGCAATCACAGGACGATGAGAATCTACGCGCATTCAAGTCCTGAGACAATCCAGAACCTTATCAGGATCGAGATCAGGTTGGCATATTTTAATTGCGCAATGTGATCGATTGTAATCAAGCAAGACGGACCTTGATCGTAACCAAGTCGCGAGTCAATCATTGCTAAGTTGAAACAGTTAATTATTCGACGAAAATGGTAGCTCTCAAGAGGAAAGAGGAATTCAATTTCGCCATATTGAACCTAACGCCGCTTTGGCGTGTGAAAGTGAGTTCACTATCGCCGCGCGCGCACGACTTTTTTTTTTTTTTCTCCACCTTTCACGGTTTCTCGATGTGGGTCACTGTGAATGGACGGTTACCGGTGGTACATCGGTAACTCCTCGATCATCTGAGCCATTCATCAAGTGACAAAGAAAAAAGTTGGCAATCACGAGTCAATCATTCAAGTCAAAACAAACAATTTTGCTTAAGGCAAACTTTAATTTTATTGAGCGCACTATTTCAAGACTAATTAATGCTTGGCTTCTTTTTTTCGACACCGAAATTCTTTCTGATGTTTGTTTTGTCCATCAATATTTGCCTCGCCTCGTACACCGAGGAAATTCTGAATTTTGTTCACCAACGGAGCAGCAACAATCAATCATGCACTCCATATATCATTACCATCATTCACCGACGACGATGAAGATATTAGCAACATATTGCTCGCATATTGGCCACACGCATCCTAAATATAAACACGATTAAAGAAAATCCTGTACTGTACACAAAACACTGCCGGCGATAAACAAAAAAAAAAAAAAAAAAAAAAGGTTTGCAAATCATGATCCCAAGGAATTTCCCTGTCAAACCTTCATTCCTCAAAACATATGTTTGCGTGATCAATCAATCAATCGTTTTTTCCTTTCATCAGGTAGTGCGCACGTGTATGCGACCACTAAAAAATACTCTCTGGTGACCAAGGAAAAAAAAAAAAAAGGATTTTTTTTTTTATCGCCATATTACCATTACCATTCATTAATATTATTTATTATTACTATTGTTATTATTATTATTATTATTATTATTATTATTATTATTATTATTATTATTATTATTATTATTATTATTTGACAAACCTTGAGAACCTATTTATCGCAAGAGGATGTATGTGCGCTCATGGGTTACTAGAGCTTTCTACCGAATTGGTATATGAATTAATGTAATCTTGTTGATATTTGTGAGAGGACACCACGGGGGTACACACGGCATGCGAATCGAAAAAATGATGCTCGTGCCAAAATTTCCCTTTAGGCAATCAAAAACATGTACCAATTTACTTAATTTAACGGTCAAATGTTGTGTGAGAACCAAAAGAAAGGTACGAATTGCAAATTGAAATTTTCTCTGAGTTACGGGAGTACCATTTTGATATTTGTTTATTGGTAGGTGATTCCTTTTCGGTTGTGCTTTGATGAATGTTTACTAAATTGATGGGATAAGTTCATCCTGACATATAGTGCGCACGCACGTCTGATAGCTAAAAGGTAAGCTTGTCGCTGGA